CGCGTCAGCTCACTGCAGCCTTCACCTCCCAGAGTAGCTGGGACTACAGGCATGTGCCACCATGCCAGCTTCCTTATAATTTTGTGTAGAGACAGGGTCTCACTATGTTGCCAGGGCTAGTCTCAAACTCCTGGGCTCAAGCAGTCCTCCCACCTTGGCCTCTCAAAGTGTTGGGATTCTTTTTAATACAGAATATTGATTTATAAAATACCGTATCTTTACTGTCCCTTCGGAGTTCAGCTAAAGAAACGTGCTTTTAGGTTTTAAAGACAGTTCCAATAATAATTGCATCCTCGAATGGTCCTACTTAAACTGAAAACAACGTATTATCTTTTTCACAGCAAGACCACACAACACAGAGGTGTTGGATGAAAACAGCAAGTCCTTTTCAATGCAGCAGTCCATAGAATACCTCTGTCAGAAACAAAGACTCAGCTTAAGAGTTCCTTGCATATATCTTGGTGCACAGGATCAATGTGATGGTGACTGGGAAAAAATTACTTCAAGTAACATGCTTAGCTTTCCCTCCTTAATGTGAAAAATCAAGGGCTTACTGAAATAGGGACAACAGAAATGCTCCTGCAACTTCAGGTTGATGAATTACAAGTTTATTTTTTATCAATAAATATTTTTATACTTACCTTGAGTGGTGTGTTTAACAAATTATGACAGAGCTGAATGCTCGTATCCTACAGGGTCAATGAACTACTTATTAAGCCTTACTGATAGCACTAAATTTAGCAGTTCTGAGAACACGTGAAACTGTGTTGAAACTGAAGGCACTATATATTTTTACATAAAAGCTTGAACATACAGATGAATTATAACCCATGTGAAGAAATCTTAGATATAAAACTTACCAAAGATACAAAAAAAAAAAAAAAAACCAGGTTTCCTGAAATTTTAGTTCTTGAACTGTTTGTTCACCTCTGTGAGGAAAATTCTTAGTTCCAGTAATAACTTTTTAAAAACTAAGTACTAGATAGGTAGTACAAGTGACATCATCACATGTATTATCTATGGGGGCAAATGTGTGGTTCCCAGAATAAAATATACCTCATGTATAGAATAGGGACATCCTTTCCAGCTCAAACGTGGGTAGGAATGTGGGAGAACCAAGGGAAACACTGGGACTGGGAGAGTGGAGTTCCTGTAGGGCGTAGGCCTGTGAAGTAACACTGGTCTTATATGTATGTTATATATGCAACCATTTTTTTAAAAAACTTATATAACCATGTTGAGAATAGATGGGTATATAACATGTTTGGAAATACTATCTTTGAAGAATGTGTATTTGTATTTACAAATCAACTTTTAAAACTGTCTCATTTAAAAGGGAATAATGCATATGTAGCCCTAGGAAATAAAGACCTATGTTATCAATGTGTCATTGTCTTCTTTCCTCTGTAACCATTCCCTGAAAGCTTAACTGCTGACCTACAGAAAACGTGTCGCGTTATGTACCTAGCTCATCATCAACACACTAACCATGAATGCCATTAGCCGTTCGGGGCCATGGCTACAGATACTGCATTGGAAAGTTGTCTTTAATCACGTAAGTGTTAAACTGTTGGGAAAAGCAGCAAAGGAGAAAGGACTTACAGAGTGCCTATATAAATTGGTTATGAATAACAGATAAACAAGGAACAACAAACTGCAGGAGGCCTCTGAGGAGGAAGGCCTCTCCATGCCTCATGTTCCGAAGCAGAGTGACCTCAGCTCTGTTACCATAAACACTGTGCTCAAGGACGTAAAACCCCTTTGTTAGCACTATGATGTAGCCAGACTTGTAGGCTCCTTGTAAGGCCCACTTTCCACCAGCTGCACATAGATAATAAGCTAAAGATAACCACATGTTCTTGTTTTGTGAAACTCCCAAACTGCCACTGTTATCTATCTCTAGAATGATACACCAGTTCCAGCTCATTGATTCAGTTCTGGCTCGCCGATTCACTCCACCATAACCCTCTCCCACCATTACTCCACTCCTACCTTGTAGATCAAAGTGATTGCAACCAATAAATAAAGTGGATAATCAGAGCCCGGGGCCTTCACTGCCTCATCCATAGTAAGTGATGGCCCCCTGGTCTCACTCTCAATCTTTCTCTCATTCCTTTGTTGCCACTGAACTCAGGGTACCCACGGCTGGCTCCCTACATTCTGGTGCCAAACGTGGGACTCATGGATCCCTACATTCTGGCACGCAATGTGTGGGGTCATGGATTCCCAACATTAAACTCTACAAATTTACCTAAAAACAGGCTGGGCATGGTGGCTCACGCCTATAATCCCAGCACTTTGGGAGGTCGAGGCGGGTGGATCATGAGGTCAAGAGATCGAGAACATCCTGGTCGACAAGGTGAAACCCCGTCTCTACTAAAAATACAAAAATTAGCTGGGCATGATGGTGCATGCCTGTAGTCCCAGCTATTCAGGAGGCTGAGGCAGGAGAATTGCTTGAACCCAGGAGGTGGAGGTTGCAGTGAGCCAAGATCGTGCCATTGCACTCCAGTCTGGGTAACAACAGCGAAACTCCGTCTCAAAAAAAAAAAAAAATTTACATAACAACAACTGGTATACATAAAAGTAGTCCTGGGTACTAAGGGTAGAAGCCTCCCTGGCTATAGTTTTTTTAACAGCACAAGTTAAGAAATAAAATGGTGACTATAACCTGTATTCAAATCCCTACTCTGTCACTACCTGATGTCAGCAGATATGGTGTGGCTGTGTCCCCACCCAAATCTAACCTTGAATTGTAATAATCCCCAAGTGTCAATGGTGGGACCAGGTGGAGGTGGTGGGATCGTGGGGGCAGTTTCCTCATGCTGTGCCTGTAATCGTGAGCCAGTCTCATGAGATCTGATGGTTTTATAAGCGTCTGGCATTTCCCCTGCTTGTACTTGCTTTGTCCTGCTACCCTGTGAGGAAGAAGAGTTCCTGCTTCTCCTTTGCCTTCCGCCATAATTGTAAGTTTCCTGAGGCCTCCCTAGCAATGCAGAACTGAGTCAATTAAAACTCTTTCCTTTATAAATTACCCAGTTTGGGGTATTTCTTTATAGCAGTGTGAGAATGGACCATATGCCTCCATTTTCTCATCTGTTAAATGGAGATAATAGTCCTGGCCTAATAGAGCTTTTTGAGTTTTAAGTAATATATTCCATGTAACCTGCTTAGCATAAGAACTGGCACTAGAAACAAAACATTTTAAATTACTGAATAGGACTTAGGGGAAAATAACAAAGTCTCTGATCATCTTGAACTACTCAGTTGGGACGTATCCCTGAATTAAACCTTCCTATTAGCAGAAGCACAAGAAAACAAACTTGGAAAGATAAAACAAGGCCAGTCACACACTGCCTTACTTGCTCTTTTTCTCTATTGTTCTCTATTGCAGGTAAACTATGGCCTGTAGGCAGTTTTTCCCTTTTTTTTTTTTGAGACAGTCTTGCTCTATGGCTCAGGCTGGAGTGCAGTGGCATGATCTCAGCTCACTGCAACCTCTGCCTCCCAGGGTCAAGCAATTCTTCTGCCTCAGCCTCCTGAGTAACTGGGATTACAGTGCTCGCCACCATGCCTGTCTACTTCTGTATTTTTAGTAGAGATGGGGTTTCGCCATGTTTGCCAGGCTGGTCTTGAACTCCTGACATCAGGTGATCCACCCACCTCGGCCTCCCAAAGTGCTAGGATTACAGGTAAGAACCACTGCACCTGGCTGGCAAAGTCTTTTAAATGGTTGGTGGGGGTGGGGGAATCAAATAAGTAATGTTTTGTGACACATCAAAATTATAATGACATGTTGTATAATTTTTGGTCAGCAGTGGACCATATATACGATGGAGTTTAAATTTTCCTACTGCCAGATTGCAATGGAGTTGAAAAATTCCTATTGCCTGGGGACATAGCCATGGTAACATCATGGTGAAATTATTTATGTAGTCTAAGTGTATAGTGTTGATAAAAGTCTATAGTAGTGCACAGTAACATCCTAGGCCTTCACATGCACTAACCACTTACTGACTCACCCAGAGCCAGCTTCCAGCCCTGCAAACTGTTCATGGCAAGTGTCCTAAATAGGTGTACCACTTTATATTTTTACTGTACCTTTTCTATGTTTAGATATGTTTAGATACTCAAATACTTAGCACTGTGTTACAACTGCCTACAGTAATCAGTACAGTAACATGCCATACAGGTTTTGAGGTTAGGAGCAGTAGGCTATACCACATAGGATGCCATAATAGGGTATACCATCTAGGTTTGTGTAACTACATCATGATGTTCACACATGGACGAAATTGCCAAGTGACATTTCTCAGAACATATCCTTATCATGGCGACTTATGACTATGAAAGTTAACAAATCAGGTTTTGTTGGAATACAGCCATGTTCATTTGTTTACATATTGTATATGGCTCTTTACACACTATCGACAGCAGACTTGTATACTATAGTTGCGACACAGACCACAGCCAACAAAGTCTAAAATTTCTGGCACTTTGCAGAAAAGGTTTGTTGACTTCTCCTCTACTGTGTTAGTGCCACTTACCCATTTTAACTGGACCAAAGACTACTCAAGTCTATCTTCCTCCAACTGACACAAGTTCTGCCTCAATGTATGGAGGTTTTCCTCAGTAATAGGAAACTGGAAAAATTATTCAACATTTATTGAGTGCCTAAATGACTACGTATATTTAGTGTAACTGCTGATTTACGTGCCAGTCTTTTCTCACTATACTGCAAGCTCCTCAAAGGTAGAGATAGTCTATTTGAGCGGAACCTGGCATTCTCTAAGTGCTTTAGAACTTGAATAAGCCAAGTAAAATGTTTTAAGGCAACCCTATCCCAAAATATTCTTGAAGATATTAATTCAATCATTGCTAATCTCTGTAATTAGCAAGGGAAGTAGTGTGGCATACCAAAGTTTATTAATACTTAATCTGTTCCCTTTATTATGTCTTTATACAGTTCCCCTCGTGTATATAATCTGATACAACTATAATTTAAAAGCCATTAATTATCTGTCTTTTATTTTGTAAGTAACAAGATATAGACATTTGAATGCCAATGTCTTATTATGGAGAGACACTGGCACTGAAGTTCAACAATGATGATTACACTTATACCTGGTAATAAAAATACAACCCTCTCTCCATTCAGGTCAAAATATCCTACTTCTTGCCTTCCTATCAATTCCCAAACATTCACAGTTGTTCAAGGACCACTAATAATATACAGGAAGTGTCTAAAGAGAGTGAGAGAACACTTAGTAAGTTAGGTAAATTAAAGATGACAAAGGAGATTACATCCTCAACACTGACAGCTTTCAAGACTTAGAAAGAGATTGTTCCTTGCTTCTAAAATTGTTCTATTTTCCTCTGTAGGAAAATGAAAGTTTTTTCCTACCAATATTAAGTAATCAAAGTACTTACACAAAATTAATCTGCTCCTCCATGGGCAGATGAGCACTCCATTTACATGATCTTTACAGATCCCTGAAGTTGCTGTCCTGTCACCGTATTTAACTGATGGATATTCAATTGAATTATTCTGCATAAATAATTCTATTCCAGAACTAAAGTAGTATGATGGGATAGATACAGTCAACTGTTCAATAAAAATGCAAATGTCTGAAATTATTAAAATGTACTTAAAAGAAACGAACTGTATCACACACTTAGGCTTAGAGGTGTTCTCTCAAGTTTTTTCTTTTAAAAAGGAAACCAGTCTTTGAAGACTCTTCTTGAATGTAGCTATTTTTCAAACTTCATCTTCTTTTTCTCTGGTCCATTAAGGTTCATGTTTGAAATATTATCGGGAGGAATGCTTATTCCTGGTATCTAAAGTAATGCAAATGGGGGAAAACAATGTGATTTACTTTACAAAGTAACAGTGGTTCAAAAATGTAAAAGACAGTCTCAATAGGTGAGAAGCAGGTCATTTGGGAAGTTTTTTTAACTGTAATACAGTCTTCCACATGGGGAGCCACTGTGATTGACAGAATCAGAGGTTTCAAGTGTGTTGGGGAAGTACACAAGTTAACAGTATCTTAGGTGAAACACCTACACTTTATTTTCAAAGTGCAGAGTTCAAAACTTCTAGAGAGAAAAGACTAAGCAGGAGAATGGAAGATCTTTTTATTTTGGTATCAAAGACCTGAAAAGAATCTCAGATGTCTAGAATCCCATGACCTAAGGAAATCAGTGAGAAAACAGGATTTGCTATGCAAATATTTGATTTCTACAGCACTTACAGGGTTAACATTAAACAGAAATAACTATGTCCCTCTCTTCGACAAAGTATGTACTGTTCGTTCCATCACAACATGGAAATTTTAAGTTTGGTCTTACCTGTGGTTCTACCAGAGACATTCGGATTTTCTGATGCTGAAGATTAGATGAGTCTAACATGATTTTCACTTTAACTTTATCAAATACATGGAACACTGTGTCTTCTATTTTAAGTGAGGGTATCTAAACAAAACACATTTTATCATTCTTAATTGCTTCCTTACATTTGACGCTTTGTTCTCATCCTTTACAATTTATCTTACATAGTAATTTAAACGTTTAAATATAAAAATTAGTAAGCATCTAAATGTTTGACATAAAAGCCACAAACCTAGTAGTCTCATGTAAATATGGTCTATTTATGTGCATACTTTCTCCTTCATTAAGGTAATTCCAATATATATATTCTTTAAAATCTTGGTGATTAATTAATCACCCCGGTAAATAGCAGATTTTTAGTCTAGTAGAGGAACACAAAGGTGATTTGGCCAGTTTATTGTTTGACTATTCTCTAAGAGCTGCAGTTCTACTAAGGAGAACAGGGAGTGTGTGTCAAATAAGAGACACTGTAAGTTAAAAAAAGTTCCTTCCCTGAGCTATCAGTAGTCATTTATTCCTTTATCGGTCGAGCAAAGCTTAACATGGTCTAAAAGAAAGAAATCAAAGACAACAACTGCACATGAGTACATAGATGGTGGTGACAAACTGTGAGTAAAACCATAGCTCAGGTGGCAAAATTAAATGTAGATTAAACCATAGCTCAGGTGGCAAAATTAAATGTAGATAAACCATAGCTCAGGTGGCAAAATTAAATGTAGATAAACCATAGCTCAGGTGGCAAAATTAAATGTAGATTTTCTGGCATGTATTTGGAGATCAGGATAAATTCTTCAGGGTACAAAAAATAATTTTATTTTATGCTTTATAGGTACCATTTATGAACTCTTAAAGAAAATGTACCCCCCAGAAAAGAAAACAAACATGAGAAATACTATACCTCATCATCATAAATAAGCCGTGGGTTTGGTTTGTCCTTTTCTTCAAAAAAGACTGTCCCTTCTAAACCATACTTTGGAATTAACACCACAATAGCATTCTTTCTTACAAATAAAATATAGGCTTCTTCACTTACTATTCCTTTGCTTTTGAAAAATAGCTGTAAAATAACATATAACTTATTTAGTCTTAAAATATTTTGAAATCAACAAAAAAATTTGAAATTAAATAAAAAATGAACAAAACTTCATCTTTCCTAGCAGTCCCAACAGAAGGCAAATACCTGGGTATGAAAAGCCACTGATGCACGCTGGGCATACTGAGCCATTTTGTGCCGGTAATTGAGATTTTTACATATATCTGCAAGCTTGTGTTTGTCTGTCAACTCTGGGTAAGTACAGTCAGCCCCAATAGCCACAGCCAAAAGCCGATGAACGATGACATCTGCGTATCTAGAAAGATGAGGGAGAAATGAGAACCATGGTATGTCAGTATTAATAGGTGCTTTTAAATTTCAAAATTAACGATTTTCTATGATCTTTAATTGTGTAAGGAAATAATTAATACCTTCTGATGGGCGAAGTAAAATGTGTGTATATTGGAGATGCTAAGCCATAGTGATGAAAATCATTATCCATTCCAGAACAGAAGTACACAGCTTGCATCATACAGCGGGTGGCTAATATTCTTAACAGAGTGTTTAGATACGGAAAAGTAGGAGATTCGGCCCGATCCAAAGACTCAGCCAAAGACTTGGCTGTATCAGTCTTAATTTCCAAATTCTGTAAACAAAAAGGAGGGAAGAGCACCATATTAAACACTTCTAAGTCAGTACCATTATGTCTTCAAAATAAACCAATCTGACCAAACAAACATCATATTTTTGTTACTTTCCTTCCCTTCAAAGCAGAAGTAATGACCAGAAACAAAACTGTACTAGTCACTACACTTCCATCAGAACAATGTTCTGATTCATCAAATTTGGCTGCTTTGTTGTACTCTGCGGAGATGAGTCAAAAATACATCTCTTCTCTTAGGTCTTTGGAAGAAATAAGACAATGAAGGAAAATTCCCTATTTACAGAATAAGCCTTGGAGCAGAGGACTGAGCAGCTGATTCAATTCCAGTGAATATGGAGAAGGTAGGTATGCATGCCGTAAAGGTCTGATCCAAAATCAGAAACCAATGCCATCATGTTAGAACAATGCTCTGCAGTCCAACACTACTGCTCCCAGCTCTCTTCTAGGTGGGAAAGGTAAGGCCTAATTAGCTAATCCAAGGAAAAGTAATGTAAGCCATAGTCACCCAAGGGGTAAGTACACCTAAATGAAAATCTACTAACAAGAGGTAGGGAGTATGCCGGGCTGAAAAAATGGTGGCCTTTCTATATTTTCCTCTTTTGCATTTATGGAATAAATGCATTTCTTTCTTAGGAACATGATATGGAAAGGACTTAACTGAGTTGAAGTAAAAAAAAAAAACAAAAAATGAAATATATGATTTGTAAAAAGTGAGGCAGTTCACAGGAGCCATGAAGCAGCACAGACATAAAAAACATGCATAAAGGCAAGAAACATGGAAGAGTTTTATATAACCAGGATGCTGAATACATCTTAGTCTAAACACCTGGCTTTAGCATAGGGTGTGTTTTAAAAAACATTAGGTTGAGTGCAGTGGCTCACACCTGTAATCCCAGCACTTTGGGAGGCTGAGGTGGGATAATTACTTGACCCTGGGAGTTTGAGACCAGCCTGGGCAACATAGTGAAAACCTATCTATACCAGAAAAAAATACAAAAAATTAGCTGCTCGTGGTGGTGTGCGCCTGCAGTCCCAGCTCCTCAAGAGACTGAGGCAGGAGGATGGCTTGAGACCCGGAGGTGGAGGGTGCAGTGAGCTGAGATCGCACCACTGCACTCCAGTCCGAGTTACAAGAGTGAGACCTGGCTCAAAAAAAAAAAAAAGAAAGAAAAACAACTATTGGCATAGTCTTGTTAAACAACAAAACTTTTATGGAGATATGAATATAAAATTATTTAGAACAGACAGATCAAAACACAAATAGATGATTTTTCAAACTATAGGACCTTACCCTCGACTTGGCTGCCTTAACAAGAATTTCATAATTTGATGGAGGTGGTGCAGGATGTTTTCGAAGCAGAGCATGTTCAGAAAATTCCTCATGAATTTTTTTTGCAACAGAGATATTGGCAAGTAACATAAATTCTTCAACCATGGAATTTGTTTCCCTGCCAATGGAAAAAGCATTAAACAACAACAAAAAAGAGAACCTGAGACTTCTCTATATCATATTTTTTCACAGGCTACCTTTGTTACCAAGAAGATAATAAGAGCATTTCCTATGTAAACATTCATATATGTGTGTACGTTTGTATTTTAAATAACTTACAATTCTTTCATCTCTCAGTTACTCTGCTAGCAATCTCTTATTATGCATCTACTGCATGAATAAATCTCACATACTAGAGGAGACTTTACAGATTGCACTGAGCCAGGTGCAGTGGCTCAGACCTGTAATCCCAGTATTTTGGGAGGCCAAGGCGGGCAAATCACTTGACCCCAGGAGTTCGAGACCAGCCTGTCCAACATGGCGAAACCCCAATGCTCCTAAAAATACAAAAAAATTGGCCAGGTCTGGTGGCACATGCTTACAGTCCCAGCTAGAGAGGCTGAGGGGTAAGAATCACTTCAACCTGGGAGATGGAGGTTGCAGTGAGCCAAGATTGCATCACTGCTCTCCAGCCTGAGTGACAGAGCAAGACTGTGTCAAAAAACAACAACACGATTGCACTCAAAACCAGCTTTACTACTCTATTTGCATATAATACAAAAACAAACATTTTCACTTCATTTTACAAGGTCCAAAATATATTTAATCATAAATCAATAAAGTTTACTAAGAATTAAAAGCTATTTAGATCATACAAATTTTGGCTTAAAAAACCAAAATTTTCAACAATACATTACTAAAACAAAGAGATCATATTTATAATAGCTAATCTGGACACTTAAAATGGGTCAGTGATTATGCTGTAAGTACAACCCACCCTCAACACACACACAGAGACACAGACACACACACATACACCCTGTTTTACAGATGAGAAAATTGAAGATATGCTTATTATTCTCTTGCTCAAGGTGAGAGTAATTAGCAATGAGAATCTGAGTCCACGAAATCTGACTTCAAAATTCTTGACCAATCTGATACTACTGTCATTCTCTATATAGTTATTCATATACATTTTTAGGTTAGTTTAGTAAATGATCCATTTTCTGTTGATATAGTGCTTTCTGTGTCTCAAGTCATTGAACGTGTATTATTAACTTTTATTCAAGTTTCATCTTGTAACTTCTTGACAAAGTATATTCATTTAAAAAATATTAGAAAGACCTCCAATGATATGGGGACAACATCTTAGAAATGTATTCTTTCTTCTTCTTAGTGAGAAGAAATAGGTGATGTTTTACTTTGGCAAAGCTAGTATCAACCTTTTTCTCAATGAAAACTCCTACTACTCAGCTCATTGTTAGCATTAACATTAGACATACTTACACAGAAGTTCTCTATGAGGGATTTTTAGACTTTACAATAGCAGTATAGCACATATTGGTTCTAAGTAAGAAATTTGAGTATATTCCCATTTTTAACCCTTGGCCATTTATTAGAAAAGAGTATATGCATGTTTAATTCCAGAATTAACATAAATAAGAAGCTAGAAAGAGGCCTACACTGATTTAACAAAAAATATTATTGTTTCCTACATCATCTTAACTAAATCAATAAACAAAAATAATTAATATCTGTATATTCCTCATAGCACCCTATGAGGTAGGTGCCATTATCAATCATAGGCAATTTACAGAAAAATAAATTGAGGCAAGGAGAGGTCAAATACCTACTTTAAATAGTTGGAAATATAATGGTAATGACAGCAGAGGGATCCAAACCTAGGGAGTTGGACTTCACAGATTCTCATAAGAAGCGCACAATCTAGATCCCGCATATGCACAATTCACAGTAGGGCTGGTGCGCCAATGAGAATCTAATAGTGCCACTGATGTGACAGAAGGCAAAGCTCACATGGTAATGCTCACAGCCCAGGGGCTGGGAAGCCCTGCACTACAGTATATGCTATATTAAATACTTTAGAAATTAATCAGGGTCATCTTTTTTTACTTATTGTAACAACTATTAGTAAGTTCTAATACATAATATATCAAAGCAAACAAATTCAAATGGAAAGTTCTTCTATTATGCTACTAAACCCAGTTTTATATAAGAAAAACTGAGCTTAAATTTACTTTTCTTTCATAAGCCAAAAAAGTAAAAATCATGATCCTGATCATTACGTTGTATATAAATATTTTTGTTATTTGTACTTACAGTCGACATTACATTTAAAACAAAAAAATCTTATCTACTGCCCATCAAAAAACTTACAAACCTAAGTTCCTTGGTCTGCAGATCTATAGGATCATGAGTTTCACTGTCCATGTGGAATCGAACTTCAGGAGAAGACAGAGTCAAAGCCCTAAATAAAAAAAAAGACAAACTATAGTCAAGCAAGCCAGTAAGACAAAATTATAGAAATTATTCTTTAAAAAAGACAATGACTACAGAAAGTGCGTAAGAGTTGCTCTCCTGAAGGCTTTATGACCATCTGCTGTTTTATGTTCCTATTTTAATAAATAGCTTAGTATTTTAGAGATTTAAAATGCATTTAACAAGAGAGGATGATAGCAACACAAGGAAATCTGAATACCTGTGCTTCTGAGGGTTTATATATCTTCTGTATCCAAACGATGAGTTTTTATTGAGCTACACAGGTTTTTAATCACTTTTACAAATAAAGAAGGGGATTGGCCATATTTAATTTACTACAGAAAACAGTCACTGAGGCAAGGGACAATAGACAGGTAAAAAAGAAGCTGCCACGGGTAGCTTAGTAATACCAGAAGATCCACAGTTCAAAAGTATCTTCCACGAAGATTGAACCAACAGAGCAAAAACTGATAACCTACTAATATGTTACAAGTAGTGATGGTTATTAATATTTGAGTGCTAAGTGTCAGAAACAATTCACGCTCAGGGCTTTACACGCATAATTCATTTAATGAGCTGGCAAGTTGTCCTTTGGAAAGTAAATTCCCACAAGGCTAGGCAAGTCTAATGTTTCCTTATACCTTGACACAGCTTTTAGCAGGTCAGCTCCAAATCAACCTAAAACTAAAACTTTTAATGAAGCTGGGCAACCTTGAATAATCAAAGGGGAGAAGAAAAATTAAGATGACATGGAACAAGTTAAGTGAAATACTAAGTCTAAGTACTTATCTTCCTCAATTCCTCACCTGCATTAAAAGAACCATAGCAGGAATACATACTAGAAAGAGAATCTCAAATCCTTTCTTGCCTTGTAGTGCACTTAAAACAAGGCTCTACATCAGATCTGATATTTATTTATTAATGTATTTGACATAAAAAGCAAGGTATACTTATCACATTTTGATTTTTCCTCATAGAACACCTAAAATATTATGTCTATCCATGAGTATTAATACTTTAAGAAGGCAAAATATGGCTTTTTTTCTGATTGTTTTTTCAATTCTCCCTAAGACTAAAGTGATTCAATGATGTTTTACCAGTAGACAACCATCTACTTACCAAATTAAAAAATACAGACTGTTGAAACTAAAAAATATCTTTCCCAGTTTTAAAATTCTATGTTACAGATGCAAATTCTTACTTTAAAACCACTAAAGTCAATACAGCTTCAATTTACATTTTATTTACGTTGCTTTAAAAAAAGAAAACCTTTGTGGCATTTTGTGTCTCACAAAAAAATCCAATTATCTTCTTCTTATACCTAAGTGACGACTTGAGTGAAAGTTTTGCTCCAGTTTAATAGCGTCCACTGGGTTTTAGCATACCCAAGTAATCCTTTCAGTTTCAAATTTCGTATTTAAGAGCACGTGAAAAAATCCCCTGAAAACTGAGGTGTTAGTAGACATAGGTATAGCTCAATGTAACTACCTCAAACACTGTCCAACAGCACTTTCTGCAGTGATGGAAATGTTCTATGTGTTCCCTGTCCAATACAACAGTCATTAGTCACGTGGCTATCGAGCACTTGAAATATGGCTAGTAGGTTAAAGAACTAAGTTGTTAATTTTATCAATTTTAATGGCACATCTTATGAAACGACACAAATGTACAATCTGCACTCACCACAAAAACCCCTTTAGTAACAGCTTGTGACCCCTATCCTAGATGGGCTTGGGAATCCTGAGACCCAGCATCTAGAACGTTCATGTACTTCTTTTAACTGCTTTCCTTCAACAACTCTGAGTTAATTCCCTATACCTTATGCCTTTTGTAGTTAGGCAAAAGCCATGATAGAACAGCTAAAAGACTCATATATGCTACTAGTCAGATCTTTGGGAGGACTCCTTTTATGCAGCTTTTAATTGTCTAAAAAAAATGAGGAGGTTGAGTTAAATAATCTCTAAAATTTAAAGTGCAAGGAGAGCCTAATCTACATTTATTTAAACCTCTGAAATCCAATGTCCAATCTGAAAATGCATTTCTAATTAAAATTAGAAACAATCTATGTAGGTCTTAAGGAGTTCTTTTCTTCCTAGAATTTCTTCAAGATCTTTAACTCAAACATAATTTTTAGCACAACAAATTACAAGGATGAAACTCCTGAACAAACATCAGTCCAGAATCAAATTGCTAACATTTAAAAGGAAGCTAGAGGCTGGGCATCGTGGCTTACGCCTGTAATCCCAGCATTTTGGGAGGCTGAGGCAGGTGGATTGCCTAAGGTCAGGAGTTTAAGACCAGCCTGCAAACATGGTAAAATCCCGTCTCTACTAAAAATACAAGAACTAGCCAGGTGTGGTGGTGGGCACCTGTAATCCCAGCTATTTGGGAGGCTGAGGCAGGAAAATCTCTTGAATCTGGTAGGCAGAGGTTGCAGTGAGCTGAGATTGCACCATTGCACTCCAGCCTGGGTGACAGAGTGAGACTCCATCTCAAAATAAATAAATAAAAGGAAGCTAGAACAAACAGGAGTCTCTATCACTGCCCATGATTGAACAATGTAACGTGTAGAAAGATTATCTTAAAACTATGAAAAACAAAATATACCCTTTTTCAATCCTTTTTTTCTTCAGAATTTTGGCTAGTTTATTCAGTCCACGGAGACTAGTGGTGATATCATCACGCATATTTGCTGAATCAATTCTCAACTGAGCTTCAGCATATGTCAGAGATGCCTAAAAAAGAAACTGTATGTTACATAATTCTCATAAATGATAGAAAAATGGTTTGCAATATGTCCTCCTGCTTCCACTACATAAAATTCATGATTTCAGAAAACCTAAAATCAGTAACAAGAGAAATTCTTGGCTGTGACTTTATACTTCACACCTGATTTCTAGTTCATTAATTCTTACCTGAGGCATTATACAACATAAACAAACATATTTTAAAAGGTAAAATGGCAATGTTGTTAGCAAACAAATTGTAAACTTTACTTGTATATTACAGTTACTGTATAAATACCCAGATAATGCAAAAATAAAACACAAAGGTAGGTTAGATCAATTCTTTCTCTGATAACAAATGTGAAATCCTTTCCAGATGATCATTACTCCCCTGCAAATAATTAAGACTGCAGGAGTAGAGACATCATGTTTTGGAGGAAATCTAATAAATGCCCAGAATTAAGCCTGTAAAAACCAGAAAAATCACAGTAGAAAAGAGTTAAAGTAATCCCCAATGACAAACAACCCAAATACACAAATAACTGCTTCTGTTCCTATTTCTCTCACAGAAATTCACCTTTTTTTAAAACTTATTTTTAAAGAGTACCTTCATAAGTGAAAAAAAGAAAGAGCATAACAGTTAGATAATGCAGGTCAGGTCAGATTCCTGGGAGAGCCAACTCATCTACTAAGGGCTAAGAGTTTTCACTCTGAAACAGATTTTATGTTCTATGTTAACTAGGCTTTTTTTCATATAATTTTGTTATACTGACCAAGTCTTAAAGAACTAAAAGTCATTCTTATTTAAAAGTACAAACTGTGGTGGCTTAAATAATGCACACATCACTATGTGTCAGCCTAACACTGCTTTCTTTCCAACCACTAGTTAGCAGAACAGCAAGAAGGATGCCAAAGGGCCAGAAAAACAGGTTAAGTTTGAAAACCAGATCATTAGAAGATAACGGGTTTGGCAAACCTTGAAGAAAGATGTAGGGCAAAATGAGAAAGAACAGAAAGGATTCTTGGGAGAGGTATTAAAAAAGGAAAAGGACAAGAAAGACAACCGGCTCCATTCTGAATATACGTGATCTCAGGCTAGTTCTACCGAAATCCAACAGTGACTTAAACATCATTTCCGCAAGAAAGTCTGAAGAGAGAAGAGGTGGACATGCTAAGTTTTAAAACATTAACCAATTATAAGTAGGAACAATGTCAATTACTAGGGTTCTTCAGTTACGGGATATAAAACCACTAGTTGGTTTTCTCAAGTGTATACACTTTGTAAGCTTCTGAATACAGGACAACTGCAACATGAACTAATTTCTGAATAACATCAAGAATTAAGCAGATACTGGGGAAAAAGAAAACCCTCTAAATTTTGCTATAACAGTACGCCCCCCCATCCTGAGAGCACAGACCTAGCCCTTGTTTTTCTGCCTAGACTCTTCCCCTCCCATCCAAACTGAAATACATTTGTCTGTATATCCGCTTTACATGTTCAAAAGAGCATCTAGCTTGATTGAAAACTTCTTGAGAGGTGGGCGGCAATCTCAAATTTAGGTGATGGCACTGGGGCTGGGGCTGGTTATTTTGGCCTGGTATTAGCAATAGAGAAAGGGTCAAAGAAAGCTGGCAATAAGACCTGCTTTCTGCATTCTTCTTTGAGAGTAGGTAGCAAAAAGGCCAAATGAGTTTTAGTGTAAATTTAAGTGTATCTGTACGTGTGTAAGCATGTGCCTGCAGCTGTGGATTTTTTTAGACTATGTTTGTATCTCAGCCATTTATATGTATATGTTTTTTTCAATTTTAGGGTAAGTAAATATAAACAATTATACATCTCTTTTCAAATACATGAATATTTTTATATGTGTGTGTGTATATATATCCATATACATGAATCTTTACAAAAATTTAACATTATTTATCCTTTTTCAAAAAAGTACCAAAAAGTTTAAACATTAGAGATTAGCCATGAAACGAACCTTTGAATTAATAACACTTTTGGTAAACTTCGTTTTTAAGATTTCAGCACTGTGATTCATTTCCCAAATACATGAAAATGCCAGCCTATGAAGGAAAATACAGAGTATTTAATAGGAATCAGGTTAAAGTAGTAAATACAATGTCTTCAAGGAAAAAAAGCTATGTAGAAATAAATACCTGTCAACGTCACACTTTAAGGAACACAAATTAGAGCTAAGCAACTCTGGAACCATGTCAATCCTCTGCGAAACATAAAAACGGAACACAGATTACTCAGCTATATCCATACATTTATTTGAGGTTCTATTCTCAAATAGCATTAATCAAACAAGGAAAGAAAAGAGTGTTCTGATTTTTGTAAATAGGAGAATTGAGAAAAGGTCAAATGAAAGGTATGTTTCTATAAAAGTACTTACACAAAACTGTTAAAGAAGAAAAGCTATGAAGGAAAACTGGACTTCAGGCTAATTAATCTAAGTTTAAGTCCTCTACATTAACAACCTATCTGTCCTCTGAAAGTTTTAAATCTCTGGTCTGTACAAGTTTATACTTGATAACTGACATACTCTATAACTGGACCTTTCTCCAATGCTTAATATAAACTATAAGGTGTTTTTAAAATACTAAAAAAAGAAAAGAGAAACTAAATTTTTGGAAAAAAGTATACAGAAGAACTTTAAGAACAAATCGATAACAGACTAAGCGTATCCTTCCCTTTGACTTTCACAATACTTTGTTTTTTCGTTTGTTTTCGAGATGGAGTTTCACCCTTGTTGCCGAGGCTGGAGTACATCCGCGCATTCTCGGCTCACAGCAACCTCTGCCTCCCACGTTCAAGCCATCCTCCTGCCTCAGCCTCCAGAGTAGCTGGGATTACAGGCTTGTGCCACCATGTCCAACTAATTTTGTATTTTTCTCTGTGTTGGTCAGGCTGGTCCCGAACCCCCATGCTCAGGTGATCTGCCCACCTTGGCCTCCCAAAGTGCTGGGATTACAGGCGTGAGCCACCATGCCTGGCCCACAATACTTTGTTATCTGAACCACTTGATAATAAAAATTTGCAACATATTTCATGATTTAAAGCCACCTTATTCCATGTATTTTTCTTAGCTAATTCATGGCTGTTTAAGAATCCGTAAGTGTCCATAGTGGTTAAATTTTTAAATTCAGTATATTTACCTTTTCACAAAGATACACAGTTGTTCCTCTTCTGGCTGATTCTTGATCCAAGGCATTTCCTGGCCTAATAAAATGGCTCACATCAGCAATATGAACACCAACCTAAAAAAGGTAAAAATAAAAGGAGGTCAATATGCTTGATTGGGCAAATGTACCAATGGAGCTTTAGTAAGATAAAATTTAGCTAAATTTTAAAAAGACTCAGTCACGTCTACCATTTCAACTTCTGACACATGGTCGTTAGTGTGCAGCTATAATTATACTGCACAACAGTAAGCAGTAAAAAATATATTCTAGGTCAAAACAACATGAACTCATAACAGAACTATATTTAGATAAAAATATTATTACATATGAATACCTCCAAATTTCCATTTTCAAGTTCTCTACAATGCAGAGCATCATCTATATCAGTACATCCTGGTGGGTCCACACTACAAATACACAGATGCCTCAGGTCTTCTCGGTTTTTCATGTCCTAGAAGACATAAGATTAGAAACAAATAAATTACGTCCAAAGCACAATTAAACATATTAATAGCTCTTGTGAAATCAGTAAGACGCATACAAAAACAATTTAGCTGTATTTTCTTGATGACAACCACATTTCTTTTTCCTGCACTGGAGCAGAGAGACACCACATATGATTTATAACTAGCGGTTTCCTTACCTTTGAAACATTTAACACATGGAAGTGTCTGCTCCACAGAAAAACTTATCTTTCATTGAAGAAGCAAATATTCTGTGATTCCTAAGAATGCAATACCTAGCTAAACGCAGGAAAAGAGGGCCCATGGTGTCTACATATTTAAAAACACAGAAATTAAAACTTTTTTTTTACTTATCTCCTTCTTGGAGACTCCCATTAACAGATCATAGCAAAGCCCCAAGAAGTCCCACTAGGAAGAAATCTAATTAGTTTGGTCCATTTTTTTCAAACTTACTTAACAATGGAAGCCTTCTTGGGCAAATACCAACTAACATGCAATACCATCGTTTCTTAGAATGGAGTCTAGAAAACATTGGCTTAAGAGTAAGCAGTATACAGTAGTATGGCTTGCAGGGTTCATCTTTTCTGCTAAGATAATGATGTTATTATTATAATAATAAATTATTTAAAAAATAATTTATAACGTCACTACAAATTACTTTCAACTTACCTTTTCAGTAATGCTCCAGGGCATCTTTGGCAGAAAACTAAGAACAGCCTGTGAAAAAGGTTGATGCGGAACATCATGTTCAAGTAACAAAACTTCTGTTTCAGTCTCTTTCTCTCCAACATCGCCCAAATTTTTCACAAAGTGTCCCTGAAACCAAGAGGCACTATTAGGAAGGTCTATTTTATAGCAAATTTACATCTTATCGTATTAAATCCTTCAGCATTTACATGTCATCTCAGTATTCCTAAATATTCCCATAATGACTTCTTAAAAATGACCCTTTGGTATAGACAAAACCTCTCAATTGATTTATGATGGAGACTTCATGAGGGTCCAGTTCTTATATCCTAAAGCATCTATTTCTTATTAAAGTTCAAGTTTAAAATGTGCTTCCAATATAATAGTTTCAAAATTTGTTTATTAGATCTGTCTGGAACTCACTTGCCATAGTCACGATCAATAAAAGTTATTGGTTTAAAAATTTACATAAAAGAGGCCGGGCACAGTGGCTCACGCTTGTAATCTCAGCACTTTGGAGGGCTGAGGTGGGTGGATCACTTGAGGCCAGGAATTCAAGACCAGCCTGGCCAACATGGTGAAACTCCGTCTCTACTAAAAATTAGCTGGGTGGGTTACCACACACCTGTAGTCCCACCTAATTGGGAAACTGAGACACAGAATCACTTGAACCTGGGAGGCAGAGGTTGCAGTGAGCCGACATCGCACCACTGCACTCCGGCTGGGACAACGGAGTGAGACTCTCAAAAAAAAGAAATTTACATTAGAGTAACCAAATGATTTACCCTGGAATTTCATAAAATTAATTTTCAAAGTAGACATGTTACTTACCAATTACTTTGTGAAATAGCCCTAAATTTCAGTACAAATCCTACATAAAAGTAGATTCGATTTTTATTAAAAGCAGAAATACTGTTCACAAAATTTTAATTAAACATCCCCAAATAAAATTAATACTTTAAGCTTACATTTGGGTATCTGGAATTTCTGGGCCAACCATCAATAGCAACAATAATTCTCCGTCCTTCTAATGTAGAAGCCTGTCTGGTTTCTATGCGAATTCGAGGGATTCTCTTATCAGCAGGTGTAAAGAGATGTCTTCTTGACTAGCAAAAATTAGAAATAAAGATCTTACATACAAAAAAATCTGAGGATGGAGGCAAAAGAAAGGCTATAAGTTCTATTACATGTTTATCATTTCTTTATTACACAGTAATGCTCTTTACTCACCTCCTTAATGTCAGACTTGGAAAGCATGCCACAATATGGTCTCCAATTCCTTTTTATTATTCCTACAACTCTACCTGTAGGCTTTAACATTTTCTCACTTACAGCAGTCTTAAGCTGTGATATAAAAATAAAAATGTTCAGTTATATTCCTCTTAGTAAGACCATCTCCTTTCAAAATCAAAATGCGTTCATGGATACTAATCCACTCAGGCAGTAAATTATGACCTAAGACTACAGAATGTTGATATTTCAAAATTCTAGACAAGAACATGCCAAACCAAACCACAGACATTGTCTCTTGATAATAACGCACTACAAAACCCATTCACAAAGCAAAAATAAATAAATATAACTGAATACATATGTCAGAACTCAACACTGTACAGGTTTAACATGAGGATTTACCAACTAAATTACACACAGGTCTGGAAATTAGACCCGGTTTCCAGTACCGGTTTGCACAAATTAGCTACGTGGTATGGTGACTAATTTCCTTTGAACCTTTGTTTATTAATTCAGTTAAAAAGTAATGTATCTTTAAAGGTTGTTCCTCATACAAAATAAAATCCCAAATAAAGAGTATCTGCTATTAGAAATAACAAAAGTTCTTATGATATTTCACCTCTTAACACTATCCAAAGGCCTGGATTCTCCATGGATAATTTCATAGTGAGACTCCAGAGCAATGAATATAAATAATGGAAAAAGAATACAAAACTGTTACATGTATTCCAACTACTTATAATATTATTATAATTATAAAATATAGAAATAAACAGGTCATATCAAGTAACTTAGCTCATAAGAAATAACCAAAATTATTCTCTTCATAATAAATATGGTAGTTGCACAAATACAATAGCCCAGAAATACATCTATTATGTTAAAGGAATTTTACCTAAAGCCTTTTCTATTTATTTATTTATTTATTTATTTTTGAGACGGAGTTTTGCTCTTGTTACCCAGGCTGGAGTGCAATGGTGCGATCTCGGCTCACCGCAACCTCCGCCTCCTGGGTTCAGGCAATTCTCCTGCCTCAGCCTCCTGAGTAGCTGGGATTACAGGCACGCAACCACCATGCCCAGCTAATTTTTTGTATTTTTAGTAGAGACGGGGTTTCACCATGTTGACCAGAATGGTCTCGATCTCTTGACTTCGTGATCCACCCGCCTCGGCCTCCCAAAGTGCTGGGATTACAGGCGTGAGCCACCGCGCCTGGCCACCTAAAGCCTTTTCTAAAGCAGTTCCTAGCACCTTTCCTAAAACATTAAAGCATTTCAGAAAACTTTAAATTTGTTTTTACTTAAACCTCATTAAGTTAAATCACATATTTTGTCATAGATTTTCAGTTTCCTACTTGTACTAACAGTCTGTTTGCATTTAAACCCATTTATTTGAGCACGTTAAGACAATAAAAGAAAGCTAAATAGAAGAGAAAAAACCGTGTATGATATGTATTAAATGTATACAACTATAATTTTATGCAATAATTCTGAAAGCAATGAAACTTGGCTTTTTCCAAAGCTGACACATTAACTAATAATACAAAGCTACACGGACAAAACAAAACAAAAAACCTGCTTAGATTCATACCATTTGTTCTCTCTCTTCTTCTTTCTCCACATCATCTTCATTTTGACCTTCATCATGTAAAACCACAGAAGACGGTGCTACCCACTGACTCTTTGGGAGAAGCTCCACAGCCACAATATCTTCATGAACAGCTCTGTTTAAATGTTTAAGTCCCTGTAAGATTATCTGTTTAAAACAATAGAGGGCATGTGCCCAAATACATTTTAATGCAATATAAAAATGGGAAGATCATCAAAAAGATATTTACATACACTCAGAATGTCTCTACGAAATCTCTATTTCTCCTTTATAGATTTTCTTTCTCTATAGTGTCCCTAATTCCACACCCTTAATTTCTCAACATCAGGCAGAAAAAACATGAGTCAGAAAATACAGGTTGTGTTCATGGCTTCACCATAACTTACAATGGTACCAAGAGACCTTGGGAAAATTACTTACACTCTCTAAATCTCAAGGTCCTGATCGGTCAAAAAAGAGTACACTACGTACTTTTTATAGGTTGGATTGAATATTAAATGAAATGCCATGCACAAAGATTTAAAAAACCTGACAAATAGCGAGCACTGCAAAAGAAAAAAAAAGGGTTACTATTTGCTTTAAAGGATGGGAAGCCTCATATGCTATGCAAATAGCATTTACCATTAACTGGTCATAATATATAAAATAGCATCTTTATTTTAGTGTATAAGGAATTTATGTATATACTTGCCTCTTTATTTTCTTCATTGTCGCCATGAATCCACACGGTAGCTTCTAAGTAATTTTCCCTGCTGGCTCTAAATGTTCCTTGAAGGTATGTACCAGATTTTATGCCTTGCTGTAGCTTACTTAAGGGAAGATGCTCTGAAAATATTATTTTTCCACTTTCTATTTCATTCTATGAAATAAGCAGACCAACAGATGCAGCTAATAAGTCTTCTGTTCACTCAATACACAGCTAGTATTAATATCAGATAATTTTTGAAATCTACATTATAGTACACACAATTCTGAATATGAGAAACTATAGCAGTGTTTCTTATAGACGAGTGCTAACAGAAACAACTTCCTATAATGAAGGAAATATTCATTTTGTGATCTCTAATGTGGTAGCCACTACACACAAGTTTCTCTTGGGCACTTGAAAGATAGTAACATCAAGAAACTAAATTTTTAATATGTATTAAATTTAAACAGCCACATACAACTAAGTGGCTACATCTTAGGGCAATCATAAATCTGTATGTCAAAAATCAAACCCAACTTTTATCTTCTCATTTCCTTTTGGTTTCATAAAGTATCTTAAAGGTAACAAAGGATGAACGAAATGTAAAGACTGGATTTATGTACAAGGTCCTATCACTTAAAACCTATTTCTACAACAAGGGCTACCAATTATATTTAATATAGCTATGTGCCAGGCACTGAGATGGAAATTATATTAATGTTACAGTTATCATTTTATTTGATCCTTATAACAATACTACGAAGTCGTTATCGCTAAACATTACATATTTATATGTAAGAAAATGAAGGCTCAGAATTTATTCCCTTAGCAGTCCTTCTCACATCAGCTATTTCAATGACTCCTTTACTCACCTCCCCGCCTCTGATCTTTCCTGGATAAAATGCATAATCTTACACACTGACATGAGAGTGGTCTTACAAATAAATACCACTTCTGATGATTTTCTCCTGTTCCACCAATCCACATTCATATACCCTTACTGTTTCTTAGCCTGACATATAAGGAAGAGCTCTCGGAATCCTTTCCTCTATCTTCTCTTCATAGCAGCCCTTCAGGGAGATCTTTATACCTACAGAATTCTAGGTCCTTACTATCTGGACACTCCCCTCCCTCTTCTTTCCTCTGTCTGCAGTGCCTGCCACTTCTTTATTTGTCAAACAGCTACTCCTTATTAACGAATCGGCCATGGATTCCATTCATTTTTTTCTCACTAAATAGTGCTATCATGTGCCAGGCCCTACTCAGGTTACTGAGAATGCATCTGTTTCAGAAAGTTAGCTCTTTTAGGAATTTCAATAAGCCTATTACATCCACTCTTATTTATAACACAGCAACTATTCCAAATCCAGCTTACCTACTGACATTCCAATTTTTCAATGTGGTAACTATATCCCTAATATCCCAAAGTGGCTATTTTAATACTTTTACTTTTCAAAAACAAAATAAAAACATACCCCTTCTTCAGACAAACAAGCAAGACGATCTATGAGTTCAGGGTTAGCAGTTAGGCTCTTTACATATTCTTCACCTGAAAAAATAAGTTTATGTTGTTTTTGATAGAGCCTTTTCCTTAGATATGAAAAAAAATGGATAGTATTGTTTGTGACAGTATACATTTCATTCTTTCATTCATTAAGAGACAGAATCTCACTCAGTCTCTCAGGCTAGAGTGCAGTGGCGCAATTATACATCACTACCACCTAGAAGCCCTGGGCTCAAGCTATCTTCCTACCTTAGCCTCCGGAGTAGCTGGGACTACAGTCACACACCACCAAGCATGGTTTTTTTTTTTTTCCTGTAGAGACACAGTCTTGCTATGTTGCCCAGGCTGGTCTTAAACTCTTGGTCTCAAGCAAGCCTCTTGCCCTGACCTCCCAAAGTGTTGGGATTACAGCACCTGGCCTCAATTTATTTAAAAAACAAAACTCAACAACCTGTTGATGTGATCATCCCTAAGCAGAGGCAGGGGTTCCAGTATATTTATGAGCTTTCACTGCTAAATCAGTTCCAAATAGGCGAAAATTAACAGTCATTGGGCACCACAATATACTTGGCTTAAAAACTATGTGAAATTTATACAAAAATATCACATGAAGTTACATAGGACTATGAAAATACTAAAGTGAACATCTGACCACAGGCCTGATGATTATTTTTAAATGCATTTGCAAAAATGCACTAACTACTTCTACATGTAGACTTACAAGTAAAAGCTGGTATTCCTTCTTCTACAGCTTTCTCTTTGTTTTTCCTGTCATTTGTTATGAAGATAACTTGCAGCTGGTTGTCTGCTGACATTTTCTTCAAATGTTCATTGTACCATTTTGCTGCTACTCGAATAGCTCTATCATTCCTGTCATTAGCATTTTCTCCCTGTTCTTGCTCTACATAGGTTTCTCTAAATGTAAAGGAAAGAAAAACAAACAAAATAAAAGGAAATCAATAGAAACAAGGATATGTGAAAACTCTTAGCACATAAATCCTTAACAACCACTAAACGAGGAAAAAGTCAATGGTTATCTTTTCTCTTGAATGTATTCAAATGTACATCTCAGAGAAGAGATCAGAATTCTTTTTTTTTTTTTTTTTTTTGAGACGGAGTTTCGCTCTTGTTACCCAGGCTGGAGTGCAATGGCGCGATCTCGGCTCACCGCAACCTCCGCCTCCTGGGTTCAGGCAATTCTGCCTCAGCCTCCTGAGTAGCTGGGATTACAGGCACGCGCCACTATGTCCAGCTGATTTTTTGTATTTTTAGTAGAGATGGGGTTTCACCATGTTGACCAAGATGGTGTCGATCTCTTGACCTCGTGATCCACTCGCCTCGGCCCCCCAAAGTGCTGGGATTACAGGCGTGAGCCACCGTGCCCGGCCCAGAATTCTTATAGTTAAGTTTCTAAGAAAACAATTTGCTTGGAAAAGTAGAAAACTATGTTATTAACGGGAGAAGAAAAAGGCCAATACAATTTTTTTCCTAAAAATAACAATTCAAGATCAGAACTTATACTTTAGGTTAAGACACTAAATAGTTTGTTGAAATGAATTATAATAAAATTTCACAGGTCTGATAATCAGATTTCATTCAAACTGTAGGTTAGCAGCAATTCCCAAAAGCTACTAATAGTAAAATTAGATCATTTATAATCAGAATTCTACCATCATTAATAAATAATGCATAGATATTATCCATGGTAAACAATAAATAAATAGCTGAAGCCATGTAGAGACTGAAAAGTCAGCTACATTAATAGTTTTGATTACATATTTTTTTCTATCTAAACTCCCAAGTATGTCAACACATTTATCTATCTCTTTAAACCTGTTCATCAAAGCCAGATTTAAGTACAACAGCAAAGTTCAGCACAATAGCTTGCAGTACTTAATAAGATTAAATTGACTTACAAATTAATAGTTCTAGAATTATTTTATTCCCCATCATCAAAAGTACTTGCTAATGCTTTTTTTTTTTTAAACTGAGACAGTCTTGCTCTGTAGCTCAGGCTGAAGTACAGTGGCATGATTTCAGCTCACTGCAACCTCTGCCTCCCAGCTTCAAGTGATCCTCTCAACCCAGCCTCCCAAGTAGCTAGGACTAGAGGCATGCACCACCACAACCAGCTAATTTTTGTATTTTTAAGAGACAGGGTTTTTCCATGTTAGCTAGGCTGGTCTGGAACTCCTGGCCTCAAATGATCTGCCCGCCTCAACCTCCCAAAGTGCCAGGATTACAGACACGAGCCACTATGCCCAGGTGCTAGTGCTTTAAGCTTATCAGTGAAAGACACAGTCATAAATTTTTGAATTAGTTTTAAACTTGGGTCTTTCTGCACTGAAAAACAAGTATATTTCTATTTCCAGATTTCAAGGAGGTACTAGGAATAAGAAGTCTACAAAGGCTTTACTGGTATTCTTTACAAGAATACTGAAGTTTGAGATATAAGAATCAAGAAATTCGAAAAATTAAGGATTTAAAAAACGTGCATAATCTGATGGAATTTCATTACCAGAATTCTACACTCTTACTTAATCCAATGGTTCTCAATCCAGTGAATTTCCCCCCACCACCCCCCCGGGGATTTTGCATCATTACAAGTCAGTGACGGTGGTGATGTGGGTAAGGGGTGGTGACTGCTGCTGAGGAGTGGGTAGAGGCCAGGGATGCTAAACATCCTACAATGTATAAAACAGCTTTCCCATCACACAAAAAAATTATTCAGTCTAAAATACCTATAATCTCAAGATTGAGAAACCCAGATCTAAGCTAATAAAAGTACCATAAATACCCACCATAGATTATTTATGTATTATAACACAATAGGCAATATCATATGTTCTGAGACCACACATTAAGTTCAAAGGTCTTGAATCTCAAAACATATCAAAGAATTCTATTCCTTAACCTAATCTTACTCAATGTAATCAGTTACACAGTATTAAACTTTTGAAAAGACCATGAAGAATAAATCTACTTTCTATTTTTAAACCTCCCCTTCACAAACTCATACATTTTATTACCCTCTGTTAGTTGTCCACATAATATGGTATTCCAGGAACCTAGGCAAATCTCATCTTCCAAGATTCTACGGTCCAACTCATGCTAAAACCAATTTGAAATGAAAACATTTGGGAAATAAAAGTACCTACTGTAGTCTAGGAGTCAGCAGCATTGGTTCCAGGCTTGAGCCCACCAATGCCTGTGTGACCTTAGAGAGATCCACTTAGCATTATCTTCTGCACAGGCATGTAAGAATCAAATAAGGTATGAAATCTGTCACTTAACTTCTGACAGGGTCACAATTTACTCCCAGGAACCCTCTCCCCAGTTTAGCTAATCCTGTGGTTTTCTAATATTTAACATAATATTTCTCCTACCTATGGTGCTCATTAGTGAAAGTATAGAAATGCTTCTCTTGGTTATTAGTCACATCTCGGATACGTTTATAAACGGGGGCACTGCGATTTCTCACTTCTTGAAGAACTGTTTGTAGCACAATTACATTCCTGATGGCAGGGTCCTCAAGAACATCAATCTTAAAAAAAGAAAAATAAAGTCAATTTTTCCTGTATTCATTCGTAAATTGCTTCTGTCAAATATAAAATCCTGTTTTATGTTCGGCATCAATACTTTATGTTTAAAAAAAAAAATGAATAACTTAAGCCAACAAGCTATTTGGCTACAGAAAAAGAGACAAGTCATTAAACCCTTCAGATCTATTAAAAAAGCACACTTAAACAGACCAATCACAAAACTTCGTAGAATTAAGGGTATTAATAAAGAAATACGTTGGCCCACATAGTTTTTGTTCGTAGGCACTTACAAGCTGCCTGGGAGTCGCAGGCTGGAGGCCACAGAATCCCAGGTCCCCGGCCTCCAGGCACTGACAATCTAAGGCAGAAGAGACACCAGGAGTTAGAAAAATAACGTGTCTAAAATACGACTCCAAGAACTAAATTTTTTAAAGCTAAAGGAAAAGAACCTCGGCCTGGGAAACAGGAAGCTCGGATCCCCAGGGGGTTTGTCTCTCCCTAGGTATGGGACACTGCCAAAGACCCGCCTCCCTGGGCCTCAGTTTCCCTATCTCTCTCACCCCTTGTCCCGGTGGGGCCGCAGTGTCCGCGGTTCGCCCGCCCACGCACCTGGTGGAGTAACACGTTAGTGTCAGGCAACAAGTAGTGCGGCTGCGGGCAGAGGCTGCTTGCCGGGTCCTGAGGCTGCGGCTCCAAGGCCGGCCCCTCGTGCGCCCCGCCACACGCTGTGCACCCGGCCGCACCGCAGCCTATGTCGTCTCGCAGGTAATGCTCGCGCACGATCTTCATCACGCCGCCCGCCCGGGTCTTTTTTAAGAACGTCTTGGACTTGAGCATCTTGTCTCGCCGCGCAGAATCCTAACCCCAGCCGTGCTCTTCCGGCAAAAGACGTCAAGCTAGAAACAACGACGCCTCACCCAGAGGTTCTCCGCTTCCCGCTCCTGGATATTACTAACACTTCTCGCGGGAAAACGCCGAGAAAAACATTGGTTGGCTCTCTGACGGCCGCGGGGATTGGGCGAGAGTGAGGAGGGGCGGCAAGGCGGGGCCCGTAGCCATTTCCTCCAGTGGCAGGGGCGGGGCTCGTCCTTGTACTCCATCTCCCATAGGGCATTGCTTTCCGCGCGTCGGAATATCCGGAGAGCTGACTTCCGGCGGCTTGTGGGAGTGTGAACCGCTGCTGCTTCCGTCCTCCTTGCGAGTGCGTAGATGGTTGTCTTGGTTACGGATTCTAACGGTCCTCTACCCTAAAATCGCTTGTTGGGGCCCTGCAACCTTGAGCTTCCGACCGGAGACGTCTTCGGTCCCTCTGAGTGTCTGCATTGGCGGCTGGTCAGGCCTTGGGTGTGGAGTAATTGACGCTTTGGAGGTAACCTGCGGCTATCTCCCCTTCTTTGCTGCGTGGGGCAAGGAATTCCCCGAGCTGCCAAGTGTGGGGCTTACTTTTCACGCCGAGCGTATGGGCAGTCCCTGTCTTGAAACGTTTGTAATCTAGGAGAGGATTTGTCTTTGAATTCACTTTTACCCATTTCCATTCAAAAAGGAGGGAGGCTGATCTTAGTATAGTATTTGCTCTTTCTCCTCCACACCTTTCCTTATTCAGTTCAGAAAAACTGACAAATATTTAATTGTATGATTTGTTATATCATTAGGTATTAAAACAAGGTAGTTGCTAACGTTCTTATGAAAGAGAAGTTCTATTTAGAATTTCTTGAATTTTTCTTATACTCTGTTGTTTTCATTCTGCTATCTATAAAAAACTTTTTTGTCTCCCTATTTTCCTATTTAAAAAATCTTCAGTGTTGCCTCATTGCCTGTAGGGTAAAATCCAAACATATGTTGACATTTAAGGCCCTCCTCTTGATCGTTAAGAGAGTGTGTGTGTGTGTGTGTGTGTGTGTGTGTGTGTGTGTGTGTTTAGGGGGTGGAAGGAGTTAACTATTCAAAGACTTGGCTTTGTTGTTTTACTTCCACTTACATATCGTTAATACCTGCATGATTTCTCCTTTTTACCATGCCTGTCCAGATCTTTCAGGATTCTAAGTGCTACCTTTGTGTAACCTTTCCCTGACCAACTCAGAAGTGATTTCTGTTATCTTTGAGCATGTCTTGTTTTTGTTAGTGCCATGCTTGGTTATACTGGGCTTTTTTATTCATTTTGTACATTTCTTTGTGTCCTCCAAATAAGATTCCTCCCCTAGGAACTGTTTTTCAAAATTCCTCAGAGGGCTGAGTTCATGGTAGGAATTAATTAATGTGTTTGATTGGAGCATTAATTTACTTCAGTAATCTGTACTAGATTTGTGGTCCACTAAATTGCCTAATTTTTATTTAAGGAATCCTTAGTCTCTCTTTAATATAGTCCATGATTTCTGTAATTTTATAGTACATTTAAATTAATGTTGTCTTGGCCGGGCGCGGTGGCTCAAGCCTGTAATCCCAGCACTGTGGGAGGCTGAGGCGGGTGGATCACGAGGTCAAGAGATCGAGACCATCCTGGTCAACATGGTGAAACCCCGTCTCTACTAAAAATACAAAAAATTAGCTGGGCATGGTGGCGCGTGCCTGTAATCCCAGCGACTCAGGAGGCTGAGGCAGGAGAATTGCCTGAACCCGGGAGGCGGAGGTTGCGGTGAGCCGAGATCGCGCCATTGCACTCCAGCCTGGGTAACAAGAGCGAAACTCCGTCTCAAAAAAAAAAAAAAAAATTAATGTTGTCTTTTAACCTACAGAATATTAAAATCAATTTGGAGAAGAAAACTGATCCATAATAACAAAAATGTCTCGAAAAATTTCAAAGGAGTCAAAAAAAGTGAACATCTCTAGTTCTCTGGAATCTGAAGATATTAGTTTAGAAACAACAGTTCCTACGGATGATATTTCCTCATCAGAAGAGCGAGAGGGTAAAGTCAAAATCACCAGGCAGCTAATTGAACGAAAAGAATTGCTTCATAATATTCAGTTACTAAAAATTGAGCTATCCCAGAAAAATATGATGATCGACAATTTGAAAGTGGAATATCTTACAAAGGTAAGATCAGGTTTAAATTTTGTTTTCTATATGCTTTATTGTCTTCAAACTGCAGGTAAATAAGAATTAAACACACACACACACACACACACACACACACACACACACATACACACATACATTATCTGAACTTGAAATGATATGTTTATATTTTTTGACAAGTACAGCCTTGAAGTAATTTTGCTATTTATAGAAGTAGAGAGTACAATGGTGGCTACCAAGGGCTGGCATAGTTAGGGGTGAAGGAGAATTGGGGTGATGTTGGTCAAAGGTTACATAATTACAGTTGAATAGGAGGAATACATTCAAGAGATCTATTGTACAGCATGGTGACTATAGTTAATGGCATTGCAATCTTGAAAAATATTATATTTTGGAAAAACACAGTGAATGTTAAGTGTTCTAATTACTAAAATAGCTATGTGAGGTAAAACATTTGTTAATTAGTTAGGGTTAACCATTTTACAATGTACACATGCTTCAAAACATTATGTCTTACATGACAAATACACACAATTTTATCTTTCAATTGGATCATCCGATGGCACCTGCCATCCCACCTGGCTAAGTTTTGTATTTTCTTTAAGTGGAGATGGGTTTCACCATGTTGGCCAAGTTGGTCTCAAACTCCTGACCTCAGGTGAGTCACCCATCTTGGCCTCCCAAAGTGGAGGTATATTTTCTTAAGTGTATTTTCTCATCATGTTGTTTGCTGCTTCATTTAGCACTAACTGATATGACTGCTTTGATAGGGAGAATCAAAGTTTCTTTATTTTTTTTTTTGAGATGGAATCTACTACATCTGTTACCCAGGTTGTAGTGCAGTGACATGACCTCGGCTTGCTGCAGCCTCCTCCTCCTGAGTTCAAGCGATTCTCCTGCCTCAGCATCCCTATTAGCTGGGATTAAAGCGCCTGCCACCACAACTGGCTAATTTTTGTATTTTCAATAGAGACGGGGTTTTGCCATGCTGGTCAGGCTGATCTCGAACTCCTGGCTTTAGGTGATCTGGCCCCCTTGGCCTCCCAAAGTGCTGGGATTACAGGCATGAGCCACCATAACTGACCAGCCAAAATAATGTTATTAATTCTGTATAGACCTCTGCTCTGGGGATTTTCTTTGGTACCTTTCTATTTGCTAGATACCATGTCGGTCTTTCTGTTTTATAGTTACTTTGTCATAATAAGATGCATAAATTCAGGTTCTATAGTCTTTAGCAAATGATGTTTGCCATGCAAGTAAAAGATGTTCTAGTCATTGTTTTTTGTCCGTACGTGGTTATCTACAGTTACAGGATTTGATGTAAGACTTGTATATTGTCACTAGCTATAAGAACTTTACAGCGATTTCAGAAAGACAGAAGCGTTCTTTCTGTACTGTCACTGGGAACATCTTATCTTCTCTGTGTTAAACCCATCACCTTTCCTCTTGTTCCAGTTCTTTCTACCTCCACATTTCGTTGTTTCACTTATATTATCTCTCTTGAGTCTGTCTCCTGTTTTAGCTCTTGTCTATGTATGCCAACATACTTCAGTATCCTGCCACTGGAAAATTTCTGCACTCCAGCCTATCAACAAAGCAAGACTCTGTCTCAAAAAAAAAGGCACAGAAAATGAAGTGAAACAGATGAGGATACTATGTTAGCTGATAAGATAACAACAGCTAATACTTATCATGTGCTTATTTTTTGTGTACCCACAAAATTCTTGTCTCTCAAGAAAGTAATCCAAAACCTCAATCTTGATCAAGTAAAGAACAGTTCATGTAAACTTTAAAAATATATACGAATGTCTGACATTTATTGAGTGCTTATGCTGTGCCAGACATTGTTCTAAGAACTTTCAGGTGTTACCTCATTTAAGCCTCACAGCAACCCTTTGAGATACAGGTACTTTTAGAGGAGGAGGCTTTTCTTGACCTATTATATTAAGTGAATCGTACAGTAAGTTAGATAGTACCTGTTACTTAGTATCTTAGTCCATTTGGTCAGCTATAGCAAAATACCATAGACTGGGTAGCTTTATAAACAACAAAAATTTATTTTCCATTGGAAACAAGGCAATCTAAGAGATCAGGGTGCTAGTATGGTAAGGTTCTGGTGGGGGCCCTCTCCCAGGTTGCACCTTATTTCTGTGTCCTCACATGCATGGCACAAGGGTGAGCTAGCTCTCCGGGATCACTTTTATAAGGACACTAATCCAACAATGAGGGTTCTACCCTTATAACCTAATCACCTCCAAAGGCCCCCCACTTCCTGCTGCTTACATTGGTGATTAAGTTTCAGTATACAAGTTTTGGTGGGGGACACAAAAAATAAGCACATAATAAATATTAGCTGTTGTTATCTTATCACCTAACATAGTATCCGCATATGATTCATCCCATTCATTTTCTGTGCCCTTTTTTTTGGAGACGGAGTCTTGCTTTGTCACTAGGCTGGAATGCAGTGGTGTGATCTCAGCTGACTGCAACCTCTGCCTCACGAGTTCAGGTGATTCGTCTGCCTCACCCTCCCAAGTACCTGAGACTACAGGCACTCACCACCACGCCCAGCTAATTTTTGTATTTTGAGTAGAGACGGGGTTTCACCATTTGGCCAGGATGGTCTCGATCTCTTGACCTCATGATCCACCTGCCTCGGCCACCCAAAGTGCTGGGATTACAGATGTGAGCCACCATGCCCAGCCCATTTTCTTTGCCTTTTATGGCCATTGGACTGAATTTATTTGTTATTTGTGTGTGAATAAACTATGAGGTCCGTGAGGACAGGGATGTTTTAACATTCACAGTTGTATTTCCAGCACTTAAAACAGTGCTTGTCACAAAGTAAGTACCCAGCTGTTTCTTAAATGAATGTCTGAACCCCATTTTGCTCTGATAAAACAAAACCACTAGGTGGTTAATAGCATACCCAGGGCCGTTCAGATGAAAGTGATGGAGCCAGAGAGAATTCAAACCTAGGAAGTTTAAAGCCTGCACTCCACACAACTGAAGGTCCAAACACTTTCTTTTAGGTGCTCTATAGTCACCTACCTAGCCTAGGCCACTTGGTAGTCTATCCATGCATCCAGTGGTTTCCCATTCCTATTCCCTTACTCTTTATGCATTTATTACTCACATGAAGTTATCTACCTTCACGTCTCCAGATCTTTAGGGCAACTCATTGAAGAAACCTGAGATTATCTCC